CAGAATGTTTAGTTTAATTGTTTAATTATAAATGTAATTATAAAAGTATTGTTTAAAGTTAATAATAAAAAAATGGATTGTACATGTGTGCATGATAAAGAATTTTTCCAAATATGGAAAAAAGACAAGGAGCAAATAACAAAGAAACATTCCCCTCTTTTTTTCAATTCTTTAAGACAGAATGAACTGTTTGCACAAACATTCCTTTTTTTTTTTAAATGCTTGTATAATGCGCAAAAGGTCAATACATACTACAGCACGTGTCTGAGACTTATTTAGCATACAATGTCAATCTTAAAAACACATATGTGGGGTGTTTAAATCCCCACTTTCAAGATTTACTTTGATCATCAGAAGAAATTGAAACTGTTAGATGTACGGGCTGATAAAACCATAAAAAAAACATAAAAATGCTGACATTTTCAAAATGTCAGCGAGCACCTGAAAACGAGGGGATTCACAATCATTTGTTCTCATTTTGATTCACAAAAAAATCCCAAAGGTTCAAAACAAGAAACAAGCCAAACATCACGATTACGCGCCAGCATAACATAACATGAGGCAAGCATACCGTGCTTCGGATACAAACAATATAATGTGAACACAGTCCATTGAGGGCAGGGGGAGCTCTGGTTCTAAACAGGTAATCAAACCAAGTGTGAAAGCGCCCTAAAACTCCTTATTGCTCTCTCAGGGCGCCACATCCCATCACCTGGGCCAAAACTTCTCCAGGATGTTTGAGATTGTTTTTGAGGACCCTAAGAGACCAGGCGAGAAGCAGCTGGCCTTCCAGAACTCATGGGGAATCACCACTCGCACCATCGGAGTCCTGACGATGGTTCATGGAGACAACATGGGCCTGGTGCTGCCACCCAGAGTAGCATGTCTACAGGTGTGCTGGAGATCCATCATTTCTTGTTTATATTGGATCATAGCATTGCATGCAAACTTACACTCTGATTTGCAGGTCGTCATCATTCCTTGTGGCATCACAGCCACTCTACCCGAAGCAGAGAAAGACCTTCTGTTGGCCCAGTGCTCCAAGTATCTTTCCAGACTACAGGAGGCCAATGTCAGAGTCAAGGCCGACCTGCGGGATAATTACTCACCTGGCTGGAAGTTCAATCATTGGGAGCTGAAGGTATGTAGGTTCTTCATCTCAGTTAGGGCTGCTTAATTATGGCAAAAATCATAATCACGATTGTAATAATGATTAACACGATTAGGAGTGGGGGATTGGACCAAAATAAACTGACATTTTTGTTTGTGATTTATATCAAGTATATTTTGCTGGAAATAAGGTTGCTATATCAACAATTTGGATACCAGTGAAATTTCACAATTCTTGATATCAATTTTGATACCTTAGAAATTAATGCTAGGCTAAAGTTAACAATGCTTTAAGTATTTCATGTAAATCTATCTAACATTATTGAACTAAGAGCTGAATAAACAATCAAATGTAAGTAAAACACTGCATAGTCTTCACTGTATTAATGAATTAAACAGTTTTTTAATGAAGCAATTAAAGTTATAAATAGATGTTGTTGTTTTTTCTTTTGTAACATTGGCACAGACAGCAGCAAGTATATTAGGCCTAATTCACGGATCCTCTATACTGACTTCAGGTCAACTGTTTATGCTCATTTAACACATCACTACCCAAGTATATTTCACTTGTCTGTGTTCCGCTCTATCTTTCACAGCTTAAAATGCTTGTAATAGCTCTCTTTTTAATATCAAATGTCCTGATTAGACTGTATCTTACTATAGTCACATTACATGATTTGACTAATTTGGATGAAACATTTGATATCAGTACCAGTGGTACTAAAAACCAGGGATTTTGGGTACCTGCTGTGCTGATAGGCGGCTGCTTTCAAACGCTCCCGTGTGTATCTCTGTGAAGAGGTTTCTTTTTACAAGGTGTTCTTGAAATGTTGATCATTGTAGTCATAGCCAATCACAGACATATTTGTTAAGCGTGGGAACGCAATGGCCCGTGTAGAAAGCTTTTCTAGTTTATAGTGTTTTTGTATATCTCAGTGAGCAGAGTGCTGAATATAGCCTGAATGATTGGCACTGATTATAAAGAGAGCGCTCTTTGCTTGCTTTCTGTTTACAACCCATATACATTTTGGATAAAAGTTTTGTTTCTCATACTCCTCAATACACTGCAAAGTTTCTGGATTTGCTACTTAATTCCAACTGTTTTTGCTATGATACCGAAATTGGTACAGAGAACCGTGAAATTTTACTGGTATTGGTATTTTACTGATTATGGTGTTTTCATAATTTAAATCGAAACAGCCACACCACCAATGCGCAAAAGCTTTGTTTGACGTCGTTTTCTGAATGCAGGGTGTGCCCATAAGGTTTGAGGTTGGGCCGAAGGACTTAAAACAGGGCCAGTTTGTAGCAGTAAGGAGAGACACGGGACAGAAAATCGTCGTACCAGAGGCTGATGCCGTGAAGAGGATCCCAATCCTTCTGGAAGAGATCCAGAACAATCTCTTTAAACGGTACAAACAAACTCCTGCTTTCTAGTTCTTCACCTAGTATCACTACATCTGCCATTTCCATCATGGCAGAATGATTTACTATTTTCAACATGTCACAGGGCCTCTGATGATTTGAACAAACACATGGTTGTGGCCGATACGATGGAACAATTCCAGAAAGATCTGGACCAGGGAAGGGTAAGTCAACTGTGTGGATCCAGAGCTCTTTGGATACTGTTTGTTTTCAATTAAAACCAGAAAGGTGCCTAATGTATGTCATCTCTTACAGATTGTACAGATTCCCTTCTGTGGAGGCATTGAGTGTGAGGACTGGATTAAGAAGACAACAGCCAAGTAAGAGACTAATCTATGCTTTTGGGCTGTTTTTCCTAGATAACCAGTCTTTCGTTATTTAAATACTTAAACATTTCAATGCCAAAATCTCAAATGCATTTCAATGAAAAAAGATTTGCAATTAATAAATACTACACAATTTGTTGATTATAATCTACTGTTGCTAAATCATGTTTACTATGCCATTTATATCTCTTAAACAAAGGTTTAAAGACTGAAATGTTAGGTTTTATTGAACATTTTATCAGGGTATTTATTACGTTAAACGTTTAATTTGTATTAGACTATTTGAACTGAAGTTAAGTCATAGTTTTTAGTCTATTTATGGTTTAATACGCGACCATAGATCTTGCTCTACCTCGCCTAAATGGCATTCATTTTATTTGTGCAGGTCTTAAAAACCCTTAAAATATTGGAAGTTCATAGCATTCAGAGTTTATAGACAGTTATTGTTTATTTCTTAATATCAAATTCTGTTTTTGTGTCAATTTATACGCTAATGCATTAACCAAAGATACGTACACACTTTTTTTTTCCCCCATTGAACCCCAGAAGCCCTGTTAAAAAACCTTTGGCCTTGAACACTAGAATATATTTATATCAATTCAAAGAAAAAAGACAAGATGGAAGTGGGTAGTCTTAACCCTCTTTTTCCTGTGTCTTCAGGGATCAGGACCTGGAGGCTGGTGCCCCTTCAATGGGAGCCAAGAGTCTGTGTATCCCCTTCAACCCCTTGAAGACCCTGCAGGACGGCCAGATGTGCGTCAGCGGCAAAGAGCCTGCTCAGTACTACACGTTGTTCGGTCGCAGTTACTGAAACCGTCTGTCATCCCAAAATAGTGATTCCCCTTCTCATCAAATGCACTAGTAGGATAACTGTAAGACATCTGTCATCTCTAACCACTCTAAATACTCTGCTTTTTACTATATTTTGGAGGAACCCTCTATTTTTCTGGTCACAGATTTACTAGCTAACAGGTAGAGTTTTAGGCTGGGATTTGATGTTCTATGCGACCATATTAAACCTTTGCACATCTCTAAATTTCTGACAATTGTAAACAAAACATTATCTGTAATAAAGGGATTCTTAATTTCTATCGTTTTTGTGCTCTTTTTGACTCGCCTGGTATGTTTACATGAGGATCAGAAATTAAGCTGTTTTCCTAAATCATTATGTAACACTCCATAAACCAAGGGATTTAACTCTTCTTGATAAACATTTACTACACTAGGCCAAAAGTGATGTCAGGAGGGGATCGTTTTTAATGTCCCTACAAGTTCAATTAAACCATCAAAATATATAAATAAATTAAATATATATAATATACACTTAAAATGTGAAGGAAGAACAAAACACTAAACTTCGTTTTTTAAATATTTCAGCCTCATTGTGTAAGAAACATGGTGGAACGGAAACTGATGACAAACAATCAGCTGCTGGAATCTGTTCCCCCACCCCCATGATGAGAGATGATGATGATGTAGTGGTTTAAAAGAGGCTGATTTTATTCTGTGTGGATGGAGCTTAACCCGCATCAATTTGATAAAATTCTGCCTTAAACTTCCACATCATAACCCTCTCCAAACACTTTATAACAATACAGATTAAGTTAACTGGGTAAGTCATAATACTCTTCAAGACTGTTTTTTATTTTATTATGGAACTGGTATGATAATGTGTGAATCAATAGATTTCTGAAAAATGGGGCTACAAGCTAAATTATAATCAGGAAGCAATTCGCCACATGTAAAGCATCCACAAAATGCACCACAAGTGCATTTTTCGAAATATATTTTAAATTTTTACAAGTGCATTTTTATAAATATGTCGTATATTATATAAACACACAGGTTATTTATAAAAACCATTATTTAATTATTTTTGGTTGAATTAAACATTATTTATTATACATGCTTTTTTCACTCAAATGCAATTACTGAACATACAACTAGAGAGAAAAGCAACTGCCAAAATAAAAACGTGTCAGTGTAATATAAAAAAAAGAAAATGCTAATAGTAAATCAATACTTTTCAAAGGTCACAAACTCTCACAAAATAGTTATATAACACATTCTTTATAGCTTTTTTATTCAAAGTGACTCTACTATACTTCAGTCAACAAAATCATTAAGTTGTGTTTTTATTTGTAAAATTGCATTGATTTATGAATGTGGAATTGGTTTAAAAATACAAGTAATGTAGGGTATGAGAAAAATCTAATAATGAGCTGAGAACTTAGGTTACCGTGAATCTCGCGAGACTTTTGCACCTAGTTCTAGAAACGAGCACGTGCTGGGCGTGTTGTCAAACGTACAGGTGCGCACTTGACTCTCTCCGCCTGTTCGCGTGACGTCAGAATTGAGGAAGAAAATTGCGGAAATGCTACGTGGATAAACAATTATAGGTAGTCGGCGTTTTATTACACCTATTGCTGTTTACGAGGGTAAGTGTGATTGTCGTTTTATTGGCGTATAAGTCAGTTTCACCACAAGACGGTTGTTTACTATTTAGAGAATGTATCATACAAAAGGTTTATTTGCTGTTAATCTGTTTACTGTTTGTCTGGTAATCTCTACATTGTAAAAAAAAAAACAACAACAACGTATGTATATGTGGACCTCTACAGTGTTAAAAAAGCAATGTATGTGTAATAAAAATTACGATAAAGTGATAACTGACTAATGTAAAAAAAAAAAAAGCAACTTTTTGTAATGCACTATGTAGGGTATAATGGTTTTAAGTGTTTCTCAGCTTTCTGCCCTCCTTTCAGAGAGTAACATTCTCTATAGCGCTTAACAGATTAAATTAATATTTAAATGTAAAAAATGTACAAAATTTGTATACATAACATAGTTATTGCTGTAAAAGATTGTAAAACTGGAAAGTTAGAAAGTACATAATAGTTTATATCTTTAAGGTGTTTATAACACATGGAGTAGACATCAACAAATCAATTCAATGCACTTTATTGTTCCCAATGGGGAAATTTGTCTTGGAAAAATGTGTGTGTGTGTTAATGTAAAATGTAATATTTTACTCCACAGACATTTCTTTCTCCCTGTCTTCAGATTCCTCGGTCCTCTTCTTGGAAATCGAAGCAAAGCAACTGAGGAAATGTCTTTGGAAGGAAGCATGTGTCCTCTAACCTGCCTCTGAAATACAATGGGAACTCCCCGCCTCCTGCGGGACAGCGGAGAACAAACTGCACGCTGCCAAAAGCGAAGCTACAAAGACGACAACAACAGAAATTAGGTCAATATAGAGGCAACCCCTGCTGATCCTGCTACAGCTTAATAGAACAACTAGATGTAGACAGAACTGTAATAGTGTCACGGGTGTTATTGGATTACATTGTTATAGTGTGTAATGGGGGAATGTGTGTTGGACCTCCACGGTAAAGATGGTTTTCAAAGTGGTGAAGGGTTTGACGAATGGTCCACGTTCAGTTCTGCGGACTGGACACAACCCCAGCAAGATGACAAAGGGTTTTCAGACTTGGGCGGATTTCAGGACAAAACCAGGAAAGAGGAATTATCAGCCATACCTGTGACAGAAACAGGAACTTTCGAGTTTCCTGAAAACGTACGTTCTGATGTTTTGCTACATAATACTAAAATCATATGAAGAGTTCAGATGCAAAAGCCTCTAAGTGCCATTTGAAATTTTCTTCTTTAATGATGATTTTTATCAAACTTGTATATTTAAGTTCAGTAATTTCACTTAAATTGCACTCATAATTACCTATTAATTGTTATTTAAGTGAAATTACTGAACTTAAATATACAAGTTTGATAAAAATCATCATTAAAGAAGAAAATTTCAAATGGCATTTAGAGGCTTTTGCATCTGAACTCTTCATATAGAGGTGACATACTTTCAAACCGTTCTATTGTGATATTTAACGCTGTTGTTTTACAGGCTGAAAATGGTGACAAGGGAAATCCCTGGTTCATTTTTAAGGACTGCTTTCAAGTTGAGATGGCAGAGAAAAACCTTATGATGATGGAAATCCCTACATTGTCCCAGCTACATCAGAGCACATTACAGATGCCCTCTCAGTCTGCAGCAATATCAAGGTACAAGTCTATTGCTGTTGTGACTGTTAACCATGAGATCATGAAACCCTGTTGTGGTGAGATGCTTTGGAATTAACCAGTCATTACAGCAGTCATCTTTACTTTTTTGTTGTTTTAGTGCTCAGATCTGTTCATTTATTCACAAAATCAATTATAAATGCACATAATACACAAATAGTAACTTGAATATTACTCTTCCATGACTTTCCATAATCTTTAGATCACAGTTAAGTCATAGTTAATAGTCCAGTTCTCACTATTAACTATGACTTTACTGCTTATTAAAAGTTAGTAAGGTTAGTAAGGTACAGTAGTTGTTAAGTTTAGGAATTAAGGGATGTAGATTATGGTCATGCAGAATAAGGCATTAATATGTGTTTTAAAAGTTCTAATAAACAGCCAATATCCTAGTAATATGCAGCATTCTAATAAGCAAGTAGTTAATCGTGAGAATTGGACCTTTAACGAAAGTGTTACCTATTTTATTATTATAAATATGTTTTATAAAAAAAATATAGTAAAGCAGTTTTGTTAAGGCGTTATAAATATTTTACAACTTTTATCTGACGTATAAGATCACATGGTGCAAGCAAAAAATAAAAACATAAAAAAGCATAAAGGTGGAAATTATATTGTAAAGAAATTCAGATTGTAAAACTTTAAGAATCTTTACAAAGTCCTGATATTTGTAAAAAAAAAATATGTTTTATCTTAAATAATAATGATATTATTATTATATTATTCATACAGATATATACACTCATTAAGCTTTTATTCAAGCTGCATGGAAAATATAATTTTTACTTTTCATTTCTCAAAAACATCTCACTTCCGTTTAATTCAACCTAATTCAACCTAAAATAACTAAAACTAAACTAAAACTAACGATAAATTTCAAATAAAAATGGACTTGCTCCCCGAACTTTATCCGAACTTCTGCACTATTAATTATTTCCATTATTACTTGAACTAAAATTGAAGTAAAAACATAAAATGTAAGATTTAAATCTAATAGTATGTGTGTACATTGTCATCATTTGCCCTGATTGGAATGTGCTCAAACTATTTTTGCACAGTAAAATGTTGTGATTTATCACTCTGCGCACAAGCCTGTTTTAAATTATGGAATGTCATTGTCAAAAGTCTCTCTCTCTCTCTTTCCCATCAAGCCAAGCTGCAGATTTCTGGTGTCATCTACAGTCGGGGTCAAAAACTCTGAGACTGTCAGGTCCCAAACCTAAACTACACTCCCGTGAAGGACTACTCAAATCCCTGCAGCTCACACACCCGGATGCAAGCGCTGACACACAGGTGGGCAGACACTGACATGGATGTGGCCTGGGTATTCAGATTTGGCACATTACTCGACCTGCATCCTTTGTGCTACAGACATGATTGATTCGTCATGTGGCTTGTTGAGGGGAGAGGTTGCGCTGTTACATATTCCGACTTTTGTGGTGCTATTAAAAAAAAGCGAATTTAATTTTTTATTTTCAGACCACAACTCTGTCTGATCTTGAACTAGAACATCCAGAAAACCCTCCTGGAGCTCTTATTCAAACCAAGGTTGGTGACATCAGTTTGATTTCTGTACAATAAATATTCAGATTTTAGTTTTTCAAAGAAAGTGTTTGTTTCAAATTCTAATATATTTTTAGATAACTGGTATCAAACTAGTTTAATAGTTTGCCAGGTCTTCTTAGGTAAATGTCAAAGCTACATTGTGTAACTCTTTTAGTTTATTCTTAGCTAAAAACACTTAGTTCTTTCAAAAATATATGTGCTCATTCATGTATATTTACTTCATTTAAGTAATAAAGTATTCTCGTGAGTGTATAATATGCCATTGAAAATGCATACGGGTAAGGGGTTCTAATGTCAGTCGCCATGAAAGTACATTAGCCAAAGAGGGACATACCCGTTAATTCAAGCTTCGCCTTTCGCGTTTACATTTGAGTTAATACTCATGGACGAGGTCGAACTGGAAGCCATGTTAATCTTGGACTACATTGGCCACCGTAGGAGTTAAAACGAAATCAAAATTGAGAGGAACAGAAACTGATATTCACTTGATGGTCATATACCTTTTCACCACTAGATGGGGGTAAAAATCACACAGAGTTTGTTTCACATTATAAGTCACAGTCCTCATGCAATATGGGGAGGAAGTAAGATCTTTCTGAAGATGAAAAGGGTGAAATGTCTAGCAAAAGTCATAAAAACAACTAATATTTGGCAAAAACTGAATAGAGATTGTCATATTAAGAGATTTAATCAGAATAAGATGGCAGTCTACCAAAATTATGGACTGATAAAAATAAAGATATTTTAATATGTACAGTAGGATATAAATACAAAATATATTTTGACACATTGTTTGGACATTCAATAGTCAAAATATTTTGGTTAACAACTTTCTTTAGAATATATTTTCTATTCCACAAAAGAAAGAAAACAATTTTTATTTATTTATTTTATTTGTATTTTATTTTTTTATTTGGGGTGTTAGGTGGTCTATGATTTTTTTAATTAAAGGGAAAAAAATGAACAGGTTCATTGACCTTTAAACTTTTTTTTTTGTAGCTGATGCCATCATCACACTGTCAAAATTCTCCAGGATTCTTCTACCAGATCTCACGCCAGTGGCTCAGCCAGTATAGCATGAACCTGCGGCCTAACCAGCACTAGAAAGATCCTCTACAATAAACATCACATGCATACACACACAAATATATCCCAGAAAAGCCAGCATATTGTATTTATAGATACACAAATAGATCCTGGAAAAGCCAGCTTGACAAAAGCACAGGAATGTTTTACTATGCACACAGCTCAGGAAGAATATCCTAACTTACTTGACATACACACTTACTACTAATGTAAATAAGAGGCTGTTAACATAAGCATTAGAACAGAACTAACAAGTGCCTAATAAGAACAAAATCACTGTAAACCTCAAGTATAGGCTGTTAACAGCCATATCATTATTTATATATTCAATTTTCTGTTGCTGCCTAAGCTGATTGCTTACTGCTCTTAAATCTGTTATATTTATTGTGATCTTAAATATTTGAATGTATTTGGTATATTTATATTGGAAATATTTAAACAGGAATAAATGAACACACAGCTCTAATAGTTTGTTCTGCACTAGATCAAGTTGCCTTTTATTATAATCTTATGGTTTTTTTTTTGTTTTTTTTGTTTTTTAAAAGACTGAAAAATTTAACACAAATAAAAAAGAGAAGTTTAAAATCTTAAGGAATATATATTCCTTAAGATTTTAAACTTCTCTTTTTTATTTGTGTTAATTTTTTCAGTCTTTTTTAAATATATATATATATATTAATGAGTCAATGAGTCTTAAAAATAGATTATAACATTTTCTGGAAGTCATAGTGGCTTCTGGAGTAAGAAATGCAATTATGTATATTTTTAGACTCAATATATCAGTAGTAAACAGATTAAAACATTTTTGTCAGTCACAATTTTTACATATGCTTTAACAAAAGTATCTTCTAACTCAGTCAGGGTTTTCTCATGCGTCAGTGGAGGCAAGGAGTACGGTTGGGTGCTATGACACATCGATAGAGATTTTTCTATATTTTCTGTATGTAAATATATCCGTGCAGCACAGGACTGCTTAAAAATGATAGAGCAGTAAATAAACATGAATGCATGAAAAGAACAGCAGGATATGCATGATGATTTATTAAAAAGTACAATAAATACTGTACAGTACTGAATTCGGTTCTGACAGGCAATGACAACGTGGCTTGAACGCTTAAATACACACATCTATGTATCAAAATGGCCGTCTTGTTGAGTATTCACCTAAACATAGTCAGTCAGTCATGTCAAAAGTGAAAGTAAACCGTTAGGTGAAATTTTTATTATCCAATCTTGGATTCATACATAAGGTCTTAAAGTGACAGCAGCCTCATATAGGCCTACCTGCTACAGTCCTCAATGTTAATCGAACAACAAAAGAAAAGAAAACCATTCACTGCTCTTGACTGAATAACTTACATAGCTTTATTAGGAATCTATATGTAATTAATAAAATGTAAAAGGGCTTCCTGTATGTTATGTTAGAAGGGATGTCTTTGACTTTGTAAACTCCTGTGACTTACTATAGCTAGTTTCAGTTTAGGGCTAATTTGATAGCTTATTAACTATAATGTCAACAAAATTTATCACCAAATAAGTCAAGTTTAATGTTTATCAGTTTGAACAGTTTGCCTGATTTAGTCGACGGATTACATTTAGCTTTATGTGGCATTCCTGGGTTATGTGAAGTTGATTCTGTCACACTTCCTGTCATTGTGCTTGTGTTCTACTTCAAACTGTAAACAGAACTACACTTAAAACAAAGCATATAGGAAGTTCACAAAAGGTCAGACAAAGTATAATTAAACCGATTTGATCTGAGCCTCCGTCCTCACTGAAACACAAAGTTTAAAGCATCAAGAACTACTCAGGGAGAACTGATGGTATTCAGTCTCACCATCTCTTCATTTCTTGTACTTTATAAAAAATTGGCCTTTTATCAGCCACATGCGTTTGATTGTGTAACTAACTACGTGCCTTCCTGCAGGCACAGTCTACTGTATGTGTCAAGAAGATTCTCACCTGCAAGCGGACAAAACATCCTCTTTTTAGCACATCAGCACCTTGCTCAAACCATTTCCTCTACTAATGTTTGTGGCTTCTTGCTTCGTTTCACACCAATTGCATGTTCTTCTGAATTCACACTTTGGCATTGCTAAGATACGTTTGGGACAGGGACAATAGAAATCTTTCCGAAATCTAATTGCCAAGTTTTAAGAAAGGTCTCTTTGTTTATGACAGATTCATACGACTACGTCACCTCAAAATAAAGTGTAACCAAATTCGAAATTCTATTCATTCTTTAACCCGGCCTAAAACCGTATTCTGAACAAATGTGGGCAAAATAGTTTTAATTTATTTAAAAAAAATAATAATAATACGTCCCTTGATCTGAGCGGTACAAGACTTGGCTACTTTTCCTAAATTTGCCTCCTGAATTTTTTGACTCAATTCTACAATGTTAAGTGGGTGGAAAAAAACCTCCTTAATCTTGTATTTGGGTCAAAAATGGGAAAAACTGTAATTTAGAGCATTCTAAAATAAGCCAAAATAAGACACCAGGTGACAGCAAAGTCACTTCATCTTTAGGTTTTAGAACTTATTGGAATGATATTTTAATGTAGTTAAAAAATAAGCATAATTTACATAGAAAATATGGTACTTTTTAAGGTAAATAAATTCAAAAATACCCCCAAAATAAGAAAATACACCATAATTGGATAGACAAAACTTTATCGAAGACAGTGATATAACATTTATAATAAATAAAAATTAGGATCACACCTGAGTCCTCTGTGCCCACATTTGTCCACAATTACAGGATTAAGGGCTATACGGTTTGAGGGCTACATATTATACACTTCAAGAAAAGGAAAATAAAGTCCCAGTTGAGAAAAAAAAAAAGAAAATCACACTAAAGAAGAAGATCTTGAGCTGCTTCGTAACCCTTGCAGGCCTTTGTGGATCCTCTTAAGAACACTGTCGCTGGTAAGAACATAGAAAACTGGATTTATGGCACTGTTGATGGTGGACAAACCCAGAGAGATCGTATAGGGTGTGTAGACGCTTATTTCAAAGTCACATTTCCCCTTCGAAAAGTGATAATTGATGGCGCGGAGCAAAAGGATCACATGGTACGGCGTGAAGCAGACCAGAAAGAACAAGACGACAGCCACGGCCAGGTTACGAACTTTGACTTTGGTCCGTAGCTTCAGGCCCGTGCTAGCTTGCACGTTAACAAGGATGGCCAAGTTGGTGACTATTAAAATGCACAGCGGGATGAAGAAACCGACGAAGAAGCGTGCGTAGTTGAGTGCCGTCACAACATCAGAGGGGTTGCTTGGCTCGAAGCACCGCTTCTCCTCCATTTTCTCCGAGTTGCCCTCTGTCATGGTGAAAACCGGCACGTGTCCCACAGCGACGACCACCACAATCACAAGGGTGATGATCACGGCATGCCTCATCTTTCTCAGGCCTCGAGACTCCACGGCGTAGACCACCCCGACGAAGCGGTCCATGGAAATGCAGCACATCAAGAAGATGCTGATGTACATGTTGTTGAAGAACACATATCCGGTGACCTTACAGGCCATAGAGCCCCATTCCCAGCGATGACCTCTGTTGATGTAAACGGCCCAGAGCGGAAGTGTGCCTAGATACATCAGGTCACACACTGACAGGCTGAAGAGGTAGATTCCTAGAACGTTCTTTCGCCACACTTCGATGAGTGTGAAGAAGACTGTGATCAGGTTAGCAGGCAGACCTACTGTGATAACTATACTGTAGAGAGCCACAAGTGGAAGTGGGTTTTCTTCATCGTATGGCGGTTCACAACCCTTTGTGAGGTTTTGGACTATTAATGTTGTATTGGTTGAGTTCATGGTCACTGGGGGGCTCACACTATCCAAAGAGATAGAAAAAAGAATTGGTTAAGTTTCATTTAAAGAAACATGGGGTTAGCAGTAGTATCTTAAATAGTACTTTCATTATTTCCCACAGCAAAGGCAAATATTATAAAATACTACAGTATATGCCCTGTAAAAAAAATATTGATGGTTTAACTTAAAAAAGTAAGTAACCTGGTTGCCTTAAAATTTTAAGTTCATTGAACTGGAAAAAGTGAGTTAATACAATGAAGGAGATTAATTTAATCATCAGAAACTCAAAATTATATGTTATCTGAATTAAATAGATTATTTAAAGTCCCCGTGAACCGGAAGTTGCAAACGATTTTTCTCCAGTGCTGTGACGTATTTCCAAGTGAAACGGAATATTGAACAGAGGGCAGGGTTTTACTCTAGCGCTCCTCCTCTCCATCTCTCGCTCATACTAACGGTTTGAGGGGAGTGGTTAAGCGTTTCCACACCCAAACTATGAAACCTACGTCATCAGAAAAAGAAACCGTTCCAGACCGGAAGTAACTTTTCAGATTTTGATTAAAGATTACTAAGGTAAAACATTTTTTTAATATATATTCACTTGCACGGATTAATTGTTCACCACAAGACTAGTAATATGCGCTAACAAAGTAAATAGGTTCAATTTTGATTTCACGGGGACTTTAAGTTGATTTGACAAAAGAAAAAATGTTGTGATTACTAAACTGTAAAAAAAAAAAATATCGTTGGTTTAACTTAAAAAAGTAAGTAACCTGGGTTGCCTTAAAATTTTAAGTTGATTGAACTGGAAAAAGTGAGTTAATACAATGAAGGAGATTAATTTAATCATCAGAAACTCAAAATAATAAGTTATCTCAACTAAATAAATTATTATAAAGTTAATTTGACAAAAGAAAATATGTTGTGATAAGGAACTCGAAAACGAGAACACATAACTCCTGTCCTCAAGACTCTGCACTGGCCATAGAATCACTTTTAAAGTTTTATTATTAGTATACAAGTCGCTAAACGGGATGGCTCCATCATACCTCACAGACCTATTGACTGTTCACCAACCACCTAGAGCTCTTAGGTCGGCGAACCTAGGCCTTCTGGTGGCTCCGAGAACAAAACTGAAGACTAGAGGAGACCGGGCTTTCTCTAATGCCGCTCCTAGACTCTGGAACAGCCTTTCTCCAGAAATCAGAGCTGCACCAACCCTACACATCTTTAAAGTGAGATTAAAGACGTTTTTATTTGACCTGTCGTATGCAAACTAAATGTGGAAGTAATTGCCCTGTGGCTGTTTGTATTTTAATTTGTATTTTTCCCTCTGTACAGCACTTTGGTCAACGGAAGTTGTGTTTATCTGTGCTCTATAAATAAATTGAAATTGAAATTGAAACAAATCTTGAAAATATTTTTTACTGTGTGGACTATTTCTACTCTACAGGACATTTTTATGTTAATCGGTTTATTAATATATTGGGCAAACTGAACTCAAAGTTTTTGATAAGGCTATTTTAACCAGAGTTAAGGTGAGGTCACATTGTTCAGGGGATTTTTGCAGTCAAAATCCAGTCATTTTAATAGAGAATCACGCAATTGTGAAATTTAGATGAGGGGAAAAGAATATTTCCTCTCACAGATTCT